CTTTGACTATCACAATAAAGCACATACTTTTCTTGCTTGAAACCCAACTCTTGCAAAAATTTCTTCAACCATAACTCTTCTTTGAAAGCTTCTCTAATAGCAATAAATTCAGCTTCGGTAGTTGAAAGAGCAACACATTTTTGTAATTTAGATTGCCATGCCACAGTTCTCCCTACAAATGTCATCAAATACCCCAAAGTAGATTTCCTAGAATCAACATCACCGGCCATGTCAGAATCTGTGAACCCATCAAGCATCGGCTTACCATCCCCAAAACACAAACACACCTTCGAAGTCCCTCAAAGATATCTTAGAATCCATTTTACCGCTGCCCAATGTTCTTTACCCGGATTAGAGAGAAAACGACTCACCATACCAACGGCGTGAGCAATATCCGGCCTTGTACAAACCATGGCATACATCAAAGAACCAACTGCTGAAGCATAAGGAATTTTCTGCATCTCTTCTTTGTCTTTCTCACTTGTAGGACATTGATTCGAACTAAGCTTGAAGTGACCCGCAAGTGGACAACCAACCGGCTTTGCTTTATTCATGTTGAACCTCTCAAGAACTTTCTCAATGTAGCTTTCTTGAGACAACCAAATCAGTCCCTCTTTGCGATCACAAACAATTTTCATACCAAGAATTTGTTTTGCCGGTCCCAAATCTTTCATAGCAAAAGATTTACTCAACTCTATCTTCAACTTGTTAATCATGGTAGAATCTTGACCCACAATTAACATGTCATCAACATAAAGCAAAAGAATAATAAATTTACCATCCGGAAAATTTTTCACAAACATACAATGGTTCGAAGTGGTTTTAGAAAAATCATTATTCATCATGAAAAAGTCAAATTTTTTGTACCATTGCCGCGGGGCTTGCTTGAGACCATACAAACTTTTCTTCAATTTGCAAACAAATTTTTCTTTCCCTTTTTCTACAAAACCTTCTGGTTGCTCCATGTAAATTTCTTCTTCAAGATCACCATGAAGAAATGCGGTCTTCACATCAAGTTGTTCAACTTCAAGGTTCATACTTGCAGCCATGCCAAGTACAACCCGAATAGAAGACATCTTCACAACTGGCGCGAAAATTTCATCAAAATCAATACATTTCTTTTGCCCAAAGCCTTTCACAACAAGACCTCAGATTCTTATCATCATTCTTCAATTTGAAGACCCATTTATTTTTTAAAATTTTTCTCCCCTTAGGCAACTTCACTAAATCATAGGTGTGATTTTCAAGTAAAGAATTAATCTCCTCTTCCATGGCCTTTTTCCAATCACCTTTCTTTGCATGCTCAATTGCTTCTTGGTAGCTCTCGGGCTCCCCTTGATTGGAAATCAACACAAATTAATTGGAAGAATACTTTCTTGAAGGTTGTCGGTCCCTTGTAGATTTTCTCAACTCAAGTTGTGGTGGCGGTTCTTGAGTTGGATGCTCTTCCTCAATTTCTGGCTCAACCTCATTAGGATTAGCATCATCTTCCACATCTTCAATAGGTGGCTGCATAATAAGCTGTTAAAGCATAAAGATTGAAATTTTTTACACACTACAAGTGATAGAATTTTCTAAAAATCAGGAATCAAACACTTTAAACTCGTTATATGGACATTTATATTCCCCAATATGAACCTATGTTAACAAGACATAAATTGGGTATAGGTACGGGATGTATGGGACACATGAATTGTGCAGTAGTTTTTCTGTTTTGTCTCGACAGAACAACAGAGCCATTTTCGATTGGATTTTTTTTTCTCTTCTGAATTGTAATTCAAGGTTATGTTTTGTCTAGATTCAGTACAGCTTCCTAATCTCTGAGAGAGAGAGAGACAGAGACAGAGACAGAGAGAGAGACAGAGAGAGAGATGCAAGTTCATTGTATTATGGATGGTGTGCTAAGTTCACATAAGCTTCCTAATCTCTGTGAGAGAGAAAGAGTAATGCAAGTTCATAGTAGTCTAGATTGTGGTTGTGGATGTTGTTGTAAATTTAAATACAGTTAAAAAACTAAGGAATTAAACTGGTCCGTGAATATTTTCAAAAACTGAGGAATCTAACTCAGCCTAATTAGATTTTTTTTTCTTTTCTAGTAGTGAAGCCCAAAGAATAGCAACAGCCAACACAAGTTTTTCTAAAGAATCATTCCAATAATGGTAGCCTTGACAACACCTAATATAGCGATCCCAATTTTGCTATTTCGCTGAGTATGTTGGGAGTCGAGCTGTCTGATCAGCTCGCGGGGGTCCAGGAGGGCAGTGTCCCTTGGTGGGGGTCGAGCTGCTCAGTCAGCTCATGGGGGTCCAAGGGGCAGCGCCCCTTGGCGGGTCCTAGGGTAGCACCCTGGCGGGGTTGAGGGGCAGCTCCCCCAAAACAAAAATGCAAAATGCATTCGAAGTTGTTTGTCTGCTCGAGCGGGAAAGCAAGCCGCACGTGCGGATTTCAGGGGAGAGCACAACTTGCACACTGCTAAAAAGGCAGGTGCGGGAGTGAGGTGCGGTGGGTTGGAGAGATCTGCAATTTTTTCCCTTTTCTTCTCTCTTTGGGCTGCAATTTAATCACTTTTGTATATATCTCTCTCTCTAAAAACATTTCCTCTCCCTTCTCTCTACATTTCCTACCAAAAACCTCACAAGATCTTTGATTTCTTCAAATCCTTTGGGATTTCAACCTAAGTTCTTCATCAAAGTTAGTTAGCTCCGCGAGGGCTTCGTTGTGTGCAATGAAGATCGAGTTTGGACACTATTAATTTTGGGGGTTTCATCTCATTTCTTCTTCAAAACTTGAGGTAGGGATTTTCTTAGAGTTATATATATATTTTTGCAAGATCTAGATGATTTTCAAAATCATCCTTCAATAGCTTTGAAAATTGATTGTTAATTTAAGAAATTGAGCGATTTTGAAAGTGGGTTTGTCTCTTGTTCTTTTGAAATAATCTTATTGGTTTTGATCTTCATTGATTGAAGAAAAGATGATGTTGGAAAGTTTTCTTTTAAAAGATTTGAGTTGTATAGTTTTGGTGAGAAAACCTAGAATTTGGGGATTTTTTTTTTAAAGACTGAAAATTCATGAATGATATTGTTATATTTATTTTGTGTGTCAAAATAAATGGATGTTTGAAAATTTTCTTATTTATATTTAAATAAATGATAAATTTCAGGGAATATGAGAATTGTTGTTCATTTTGAAAATTATTGTTCAAAACATTAAAATAGTCTTGAAATGACTAATTATTGAGGAAACTTGAGAAAAGGGAATTGTGTTATTCCTTGGATGATGAATTGGAATAAAAGTATTTATATTCATCTTGTGTTATTGGCATATCAATTCATTTGATTATATTAAACTTTGAATGTTGATTTGAAAACTTGTATTGAGAAAAGAATATTGAAAAACAATTTTCCTTGAATTGGTTTTGGGGTAAATACGGTGGTAAGTCTTGACAGGTGGTGTAGATGAAATTGAATAGGTGTCGAGGCTTCCAGTTAATACTGGTAAAAATGACAGATTATAGGTGTTGAGCCTTTCAGTCAATGCTGGTAAAAATGACAAATTGGTAGTACTTGTATAGTCTACTTGCAGACACTGACCTAGGGATTACCAGAGTTGTATTTACCGCTCTTGAAATGAATTGTTAAGTTTTGAAGAATTGAAATTGCATGACATCATTGAGCATGATGGTTGTCAAAGATGAAGATGTGATTTTCTTTCAAAAGGACATAGCATGACATGTGCATTTCATCTCTTGAGACTTATATAAAATATATATACTTTGTTAAGAATTTCCTACTGGGCTTTATACTCACCCTATAGGATTTTTGTGTAGGAAAAGATGTGGTGATGCCGCCTAACTAAATGTGAGGAAATGTGTGTTAAGAGTACGAGACTCTCATTTTGCTGTGACTCTGTGTGTAAGCCAAAGGCTGTATAGGTGTGGGTTTGAATAACCACTTTGTGTAACCAGGCTCAAGCTTTGGAAACTTATAAACCCTTGGGGATATTTATTTGTTTATTTACTTGTTGTTGGATTAATGTATTGTTGCATGAAGAACTATTGTATCATGTAATGTAAGTTTGGAGATTTATATTCGCTTTTCCTTGAAAGAGCCATGATTGTTGCATTACTGTTTGGGCTAGAAATTTGGGACGTTACACCTAAAGTAATATCATACAATGATGGAACAAAAAGTTATTCTAGTAATGTCTTTTTTAACCTTCCTCACACTAGCACCTTCTACAAGCACAAAATTACACTACAAAAAAATTGACTTTTTGCGACAGTAAAATACCGTCGCTAATACTCCTAATACCGTCGCTAATACTTTTTGCGACGGCAAAATGACTTTTTGCGACGGCAAGAGGGGGTCGCAACTGCAGGGGTTGCAAAAGAGTTTTTGCGACGGTAAGTGCCGTCGCTAATGTTTTGCGACGGCATTTTTTACCTTTTTGCGACGGCACCGTGCAGTCGCTAATAATTTGAAATTTCTTGACTTTTTTGCGACAGCCCTATTTTACCGTCGCTAAAAATGTTATTTGAGACGGCAAAAAATACGGTCGCTAATAGTGTTTTTTTTTAAAAAAAAAACACTATTTTTTGCGACGGTGTGATGCCGTCGCAGAAAGTATAAAAAATATAAAATTTTCTATTTTTTGCGACAGTGTAATGCCGTCGCAAAAAATATTAAAAAATAATAAAAATTTTATTTTAAATAATAAAGTTTCTATTTTTTGTGACAGTATAATGTCGTCGCAAAAAGTAAAACCTATAATAAAATTAATAAAAATATTAAAATTTTCTATTTTTTCCGACGATGGTACCGTCTCTCACTCTCTAAGAGCTGATTATTTACATTCCATTCACAAAAACATCATGACAGAAAATAAAAATAAAAATTGATCAAACCATCAAATTCAATATTTTACAAAGAATAATTAAACTGTACATGTTCATAAAAGCATATTTAAATTATAAAATTCACCCAAATCCTAAAAAAAAATAAAATAATAAAATAAAATCTAAAATTCACCATTATTTTCCATTTATTTAAAAAGGCCTACAATGAGAACTTTCGCTTTTGGAAATTATAGGGCAGCCCAAATCCAAGCATTCAAAACAAACAATAAATCTTTCGAAAGGGAAAAATATAAACATGTAGAGGATATTGCTGATCCTGTTGGTGGTGGTGCCGCCACTGAGTCACTGCTAACTCCGGTCTCGGTTGTTGAATTCAAGACCGAGGCTGGCTGATCCTGCCCATTTCCCCCTTTGGTGAATGTTGTAGTTGAAGCCAATGGTGATGGCAATGGTAATGCAGCTCCAGAACTTGCTTTCTTCTCATCAACGCTGAGAACTGAGGTATTTGACTGGTCGACATTCAAGGCAGTGGTCGACTCTGAAATAGCTCCTGATTTAAACTTTGGTTTTTGCTTAAGAGCATGAATTCCAGTGTACAGTCTGTAAAGCGAGAAACACAACACAACCCGTAAATTCATGAGTAGAAATCCATACAAGGCACATATGATACAATCGCATACACCATGTATACACCATATTTACTATCGTGAACGTGACATAATCTTCTAATGTGCTGAAACAATATAATATTTCTTTCAAAATCCAAACTTCATCAGAAGTAACCATTTTCTTCAAGGGAAACACCAATCTATTGCAAGAAACAATTTAACAATTCGGTGACACATGACCTTCGCCAGACAGAGAACCAGAGGGTATTAGCCCCCAACCAAACATTGGAAATTTCACAATTCAACTCTTGCTGACATGGCTGCTAACCAAGAGTAATGTTTAGCACTGTTCCATTTATATCTTCTTCATGACAAGTTAACCAAAACTCCATCTTAACTACGCATTTCCAATGATGAGGAAAACTTCACAACTATAGGAAGTAAGGCCAATATAGGAAACACAATAGCTGATTAAGGACCAAACATGGCAGATGACACCTTGGTCGGTCAAATAATTCAAGTGTTCAGCTCAATGTGTTCTAGGAAAAGCTACCGATACAACATCGCTACCTTGTGTGCCTGTTTTAGGACCGAAGGGGATTTAGTCCTAAAACAAGTGTTGAATCTAGAACAAAATTAAGGACCGAAGAAAAGCAACCACATAATGACCACTGCTTTCTTTAAAGGCAGTTCTCATCCACATTTTTTGTATTTTTGTCATTTACTATAAAGTTAAGGTTATTTATGTCTACATACATAAATAAGGGCAAAATTGGGAATGACATGAAAATTTGTGATGATCTGATCAACATCTGTTAGTACTATTAACAGACAACTAACAGATGGGAAAAGTGAAATTCAAAATTGAACCTGAAGGGAGGTTAGTGTTTTTTTAGAAACGTCAAGGGAGGCTTCTATAATTGGCATAAACCTCAGGGGAGGTCAGTGTAATTTACCCTTTTAAATAACCTACCTTCATGATGGGTTCAGTCTTGATAACCACTGAGATCAATCACGCAGAAGTCTCACATTTTCAGAAAAATAAAAAATAAACAAATGACATAGTGGCAATGTATCACCTAGCATGCCTGGCATACTCCTCGTAATTTTCAAGCAACATCTTGCCAGCCTGCTCATTCAGAGCTGATTCTGGAAATGGTTCTATCAGTAGACACCTGACTACCTGTGATATATAACAAATATAAGAGCTTAATGAGAAGATAATCGGACCAGCACACAAGCCACGTGAATGCAAAAATCTCTAGAGGATTGATGGGTTCAACAAATTACTGGTCTCTGCATCAAAGTGAAACAAAACTAGTACTCTAAACTGCACATCAACTTACAATCAGAACATGTCGTAACCCAAGACTTGGATTCCAATCCTTTTTCAATGTGTTGACACAAATCTCACCATTTGTTGCAATGTTTGGATGAAAAATCTTAGTCAGAAAGTAACCTACAATAAAATTCACAGAGGATTCAACATATGGGAATGGATTGATGATGAATAATTTGTTCTTGAAAAGACAGAAATCTTAAAAACTGCAACAGAGCAGACTGAGAGCCAAGAATTTCACAGAGCATGCTAATCCATAAAGAGTGGACAACAAGATCATTTTAACCAGGAAATCAACTGGCACAATTGCCCATGCTTCTCTAAATCCTTTTCAAATCTTCACTCCACCAACTATGGCCAAAACATTAACAAAATTCTTGAAGCCAAGCAAGCAATATTCAGAAAATATATGAAATTCCACTGCCATATACACTGGGAGACGGTGATAACGATACCATTCTGCCACCAATCACAGAAGGGCTGGGGGATGCAAAAACTATATATAGATCCGCACAGTAAACTAATCATCACACAACTATATATACACCGGATCTAAAGACGCAGGCAAACAAAGAATCATCAAGTTGTGAGTAGCGAAGTATGAAATATAGAAAGGTTACTGACCATCAAAAAAATAGAGATAAGAATGAGAAAGGGAAAAAAGAACGAAATATAGAAAGATTAGATTGAAAGAAACAAAAGACAGGTTATGAAATACTTAAAATTCTTGGGCCTTTATTCCTTTATTCCTTTGAATCAAGGTTGATATTTTTTGGGGTGCACGTAAGATTTTCAGACTTGTGCATTATGGGAATTGGGGTGTTGGCAGACTGAGAATTTTGTTAAACAATTGATCAAATTTTTGCCAATTACTGATAATTTGGAACTCCTAGCTTGAATTCCAAACTAAAAATATGCTCTAATTGGAATTGAAGATCAAAACTATCAGTTACAGAGAGACGAATAAAGAACTAAGAAAAACTCAATTGTTTCATGCACTAGAAACCCAAATATGGATTTTGGAAAATCTCCTCATCAAAATATTATATCGATATGTTTATTATGTCGTTATTTCTCCAAGAGGCTCTATTCTCCAATGTTAATCAATGGCTTTTGCTTTACGTGTACCAGAAAAGTATCCATTATGAAGAGAAATCAAACCAAGCCTAATACAAACAGCAGATAATATATTTGTGAGAAATTAAGTCACACCATACACTTGATCACACAAGTGTGATCAACCTTACAACTACTCCCTGACAACATTCCCTGTCACATATTCAATATATTCAAGTCAAAATGGTGACATTTCTCCTTTATCTACATCCGATTTAGAGGGACAGGATTACAAAGCTTATTGTGCTGCCACTTTATCCACAATTTTCAATCTCCACTACTGGATCAAGCATTCGTGTTCTGCAAACCATCTTCAGGTAAAATTTTGTTTCATTGTCTGAACTACTATTTTTTGCTAGCATGCAAGTGCTATTTTTTGTCTGGCACATAGTATATCTAATTCTGAGTTATATGTCAGGGAAGATGCATATTTGTCAAGAATGCCTGTTTCAATTATACAGTCCTGGTGTCAATGAGAAGGTTATATCAAGTCTATGGCTGACTTGATTGAAAAGGAGTTAGAGAGTTTCTCTACGCCTGAGGAGGTGGGTTTCATTATTGCCTTGACTCATTTGACATCATTTCTTGATGCTTTGTTGTTGGTTGAATTGTTGCTGCTGCTAGTATGCATGGCTTAGTTTTCTTATGGTATTCCAGGTCATGATATTCATCAGTGCTCATGGGGTTCCAGTTAGTTATGTTGAGGATGCGGGAGACCCATACAGAGATCAGATGGAGGAGTGCATTCACTTGATAATGCAAGGGTTGAAATCAAGACGTATCAACAATGATCATACTCTTGCTTACCAGGTTGGTTCTTGGATATAAGCTATTAGTTTCTGGCTGTTTCCAAGCTTTGCATGGTTAATAACTCCCTGTATCAATAATCATAATTTCCACATAACAATCCCCTGTGGGTATTTGACATGTTTGGTTTTTCACATTTTTTATTTGTTTTTTCCTCCATGTATGATAGAGTCGCGTTGGGCCTGTACAATGGTTGAAGCCCTACACTGATGAAGTACTTGTTGAGCTTGGCAAAAAAGGTGTGAAGAGTCTTTTGGCTGTTCCTGTAAGGTATGGTGTAAACGATTAAGTTGCATTCATGGGTTTTTCTCTTACTATTGACATATTTCTTGAAAATACAATATCACCTTTACCATGATTTGGGCTTGACTTTTACAAATGCATTTTGAAGAATGCGCCACTTAGAGCTCTAATTCTGTTGTTTTAAATTTGTTGAGCTCCATAGTTTCCTTGTGTTATTCTTTCTTGTCCGGTCCTTAACCTGATCGTGGGCCATCCTTCTCGTTTAACCATCTTAGATGAAGTTTATAGGCTTTACCTTTTAGATGCTTTACATTGGTACAAGTTACTTGTTACTTTCAGAATAGTGCAATGGATCAGATGCATAGGTTGAATGCCTCGCTTTATGTCTGGTTACCTGTGATTAGGTATATTTTTTGAAAGTTTCGAGGACTTTACAACATGCAACCGGAATTTGTTTGCCCAATACCATCTATGGATTTGATGCCGTGGCTATTAGGGAATATACACTGCAAGGACCTTAACCTGATATCTCTTACTAATATTACTGCTCCCACAATGATGATGGTAACAACTAAAGTTTTACCCTATTCATTAAATAACTGAAAAATGACTTGGCCTGGTAAGTGAATGAAGGTGGTCGCCTGGGGATTGGTGTTGACTCATTTTTCTGATTTATTTTTGTCATTCTTGAAACAAGACAGGAATTTTTTTGTTGATTTTTTTGTTACTCTAATATGATTTTACCTAATAAAAGGGGATAATAGGGAAAAACATTAAACTCGTAGTTTTTGTGCCCCTGAAATCGCAGCTTTGTGGGTGAGCACATAGAGACTCTTGAAGAGACTGATATGGAGTACAAGCACATGGCTCTTGAATCTGGCATTGAAAATTGGGGCCGTGTTTGTACCCTAGGTTGCACCACTTCCTTCATTACAGCTGTGGCCGATGCAGTTATTAAAGTCCTACCTTCAGCCACAGCCATGACAACCTCAAGTACTAATTCTGAAGAAAGTGACTATGATCCAGTTGGTTATGCTATCAAAATGTTTTTTGGTTCAATCTTGGCATTTGTTTTGCTCTTATCACCAAAAATGATCATGGCATTTAGGAATCATGTCCTTTAAAGGTTATTAAGATATTGAAAGCACTGCTGATATACAAAGCTATAGTTACAGAGAATAATAGCGGAGTCGCCGGAACTTTCTCCAAGGCTTCTCTTGGGATTTTTCCATTTTCATTTTTTGTTCTTTTGTTTATCTTGCTTTCATTTTCTTTTCCAGGGAAAAGAAAATCTTAATGAGATGTTTGAGATTTTGAGATGTTATTTTTGTAAGTAGAGAATACTCTGATCAGTAAAAGTTGCACTTCATGCTCATTTGGCCTTTGTATTTTGAAAGTATGCAAACCTTCGAGAAGTTGAATTGCAAGTCCATATAATGTAATGAAACAAATTCGAAGAAGTAACCATTAATACCCATGTTAAGTGATTTGTTATTAAGCATTTTAATGTCATTTGTACAAAGTTTTCGGGAGCTTTATTGGTGATTTCCCATAGCTCCTGTGAATGCGAGTGAATGTGAAGTACAATAAGAAAGGGTACGAGCCTTTAGGAATAAACAGAATTTTCTGAAAGTACAACTTAACATACAGCCCTGCTATCTGAACAGACCTCCAAATAATAACACTGAATAGAGAATTAATAACACAAACCGCACCGCATGGCGTAAAAGTAATACAATGGATCAAATCAAATATGAATTAATAAATAATATATATATATATATATAGAGAGAGAGAGAGAGAGAGCGAGCGATACAAAAATAGCAATGAGCTTAGCAGGAAACAAGAGAAACGTTGGGAGGCCAAAACTTGAGATTATTGCTGCGAATAAACTTTGCTCCTTCCTGTAAGTTTTGCAAATTTTCTGCAGAAACAAATAATATGTAGAATGTACTGTGTGGTCGTTGACTAAAAAAGTGATAGGAAGAAAGAAATTTCCAGCTGCTCAACTATTAGAACACCTAAACCACATTTTCTTGAATCAGTTAGACATGGTAGCCAGTAATTTTAATCCCTCTTCCTATAATCTCACTAGCACAAAGCCAGGCAAAGCAATCTAACCCAAAAATAGCAGCGATACCATTATCCTCGATCTTCATCTCTTGCCTGCTATTCAACAGTTGTTTGACATAATCAAGTTCCCTCCAGAATGATTCATAACGACCGGGAATGCTGTCCTCAGGAAGCAATCAGAAGCACATGCTGTTTTACTCATTGCACTTGGCATGATAAGATAAAATAGTAAACTACAATACTAATTTTCTTTCCCAATAGTCTTAGGAAGATGATCATTTTGTTCACTAGAGTCGAAAGATCATTTCATACGAAACAATAATTTATGAATTTGTTGAAAAAAGGTACAGTTTTAACAAAATAGTGCATAAGAAGGCAGGGTTCATCATTAAATGTAGTCATGCCTTGTTGAACCTAAAAGTTGGAGTCATATAAGAGGAAAAGTAGCTACAAGAGAGAAGAAATTAAGAATATTTACATATTTTTTAATATTGAAGTAGAACACAGAGGATACTCCATTAAATCATTAATACATTGAAAACTCCAAACTACAAGGAAATTTTCAACTTTGGTCCTACACCTCTCATGACGAGTAAAGTCGCCTTGCCTCATGGGTGCCTCGATGTGCCTAGGCACGCCTTGATAACACGACTTGAACTTACAGTCACTTGTATTCAGAATTAACATATAATATGGAAGTTGTTGGGCAAGCGAGGGAGTTAGTTGGACTCAAAGGACAAGTCAACCTAAGCCTGATCTACAGACTGTGCAGCCCAATATGTTTCTTAGGTTTGGTCCCAGTTTTTTCTGTTCCACAATGCATAACCCAACCCTAACTAAATTGTTACAGTTGAGTAATATTTGCTTGAATGTAGGCATCATTGATAAAACAACTCCCTTAACAATTGAAATTGCCAAAACCCATGAGCAAAACAAGTTGTTCTATTAAAATGTTAGCCT